GAAAAAGATACATTACCGTGGTTGTACCAAGGACATGTTTTTATCATATAAACCGGCACTTTAGACGATGTTTAAATTAAGCATTGCCATTGGCTAACCAAAAAAAAAAATGACATAACGCTTCCCTGAGAGGAAGTGTTATATAGCCTTGCGGTTGGAGGTCGTACACAAAGTAGCCAATCACAGTGCAAAGCCATCAACCCCTCCTCCACCACCACCCTTTGAGCGCTGGACGACGAGCGAACTAAAATACGCAGTGGTCTCGTACACAGACGAACGGTTATGAAATCCTATTGTAAAGTAGTCTTTTGATTCTGCATTTACGACAGATTTTAAAGTTTAATCTAATCGACGGCGTCATGGCAACTCGACTGGATCTGAAACCCATCGACTGCAACGTTGTACAACTCGTTTCACGGAAGCTTATGAAGCGAAAACAAAGTTCGTGCGTGAACAAAGAGACGGGAAAAAATATTGTCGGAAGTAAAGGGTTGGCAATGAGTTTCGTTTGTTACCAATTTCACTTTTCCAAAATATTACCAAAGGAACGCAAAGAAAAAAAACTCCGACATCAGTGTTTCGATCTTAGGATGGTTTCATTAGGAATTTATCCAAAAATTGTCGAACGTGATAGGACGACCCTAAAATCCCATAGGCGGACCCGGCGCGCGAGGATTCCAGACGCTCGCTGCAGTGCGTGAGCTTTTACAACATTTCAGGCCCCGAGTCACTAAATTTTGTGATTGAGTCGAATCATTCTAGTGTAGTTATTTGAGTCGAGTTAAGTCACTGGTATAGAAATCGAGTCGAGTATAGTCAATTGGAGTAAATACAGTAAATAAACACAAGACTGGATTTCATTCCCCACATTCCCAAGACCAGTTTATAGGCTGGCTCGCAGATCATACAAGAACTGATTTGGTTTGGTTTGGTTTGGTTTGGTTTATTTCACATCTTCGCTAACATTGCAGGTAGATGAACAATAAAAGAAATTCAGAGTAACAAAGATACACAATGTTATTACACTATTAATTCATACACTGTAAACGAAGATGTATAGATGCTGGATGGAAAGTCGACGCTTTATACGAAACCCAGCATCCCGTTTTGCGATGAACATTCCATTCTACACGTTTTTAACAAAATATAACTTACATTAAATTGTCTCAATACAGTGTACAGATACATCTAGCTGGTTTATGATTACGGCATTTAAGGATTACGAATGAGGTCTTCGGTAATAAATGTAAATAGTACCATGAATATGTATGAGTTGAGATCACTGTTAAGTAAGAAACTCTTAAGATTTTTCTTGAATTGTTAAAACGGTACGTGTTGAGGGTAGGCAGTTGAAGCTTCTATTGGTGTCTTACAGTTGATTTGGAGAAATTTGTTCGCGCACTAAGGATGTGAAATTTGGATGATAATCTTGTATTATAATTATGGATTGAACTGTTTCAAGTTAACATAGTTTGTATGGCCGTTGGAAGGATTTAGCGCTCAAAAGTATACATCAAAACGCGCAAGTGATATTTGTAGATATTTAAGACAGTGTGATCTATAACCTGAGTTACCGGGTATTCATTAGTCTTAAAAGTTTCTTTTGAACAATATTAATATAGATTTTCTTTAAGTATGCATGATAAGTTTTGCTCCAAGCTAAATACACCATAGTGTAAATAAGGTTCAATTAAAATGTGGGGTAATTTCAGTTTTCTAAGAACACCAAGATTTCTAGAGATGGACGTGTGTACATTTTGGCAGTGGTGTTTCCAAGAAACCTTATCGTCAATGATAAGAATTTTACGCTGCGTACTTTTTGTGTTATTGAATCATTAATATAAATATTTGATTGAAATGTCCTTATTTGTTTTAGTAAAGTACATACAAGCAGTTTTGTTTAGATTTATGGATAAACTGTTACTGATTAACCATGTGGAAATGTTTTGTAGTTCTCTGTTCACAGTTCTCAAACCTACTTGCAAATTGTCTCAACTGTAGAAAATATTAGTGTCATCGGCAAATAAAATTGCATAAACCATTTATATATAAGAGAAACAAAATGGGACCTGATATTGAGCCTTGGGGGACACCACATTTAAGTGTTTGGAATGTTGATCTTTGATGCTCCCAATCGACAAATTGCATTCTATCAAAAAGATACCTTCGAAACCAGTCCAGGGCAATCCCTCTAACCCCATACTTCGACGGTTAATTCAGTAGTATATCATGATCAATGTGTCAAATGCTTTGGACAAATCAAGAAAGACACCAATAGTATTTTGTGACTTATCGAGTGACTGGGTGATTTTATCTATAAGGTCAATAACAGTCATTTGTGTAGACTAATTTGCTCGGAAGCCATACTGAGAATTGCTGAGGATGTCAAATACTTGAAGGAATGGGTTTAGGCGAACGGCAGCTTATAAACGTTCCAGAATTTAGTTGAGTCTAGATTTTTTGCGTGCACAATATACAAGTCTGCTTCTGATAAGTTGAATGTTGACCTGCGTATATGTCCATTTGTTTTGAAATAGCATGATGATTTTTGTGTGTGTTGAAATCAGGACGTAAAATTACCCGGCCTCCAACCATCAATGACAGAAATACAAATCACCTGAACAATTTTTAAAACCACTAATGTAGAATTACATTTCGGATCTGGTTCTGAGAAAGTAAACCATTGCAAATATTTTTTAGCAAAGAGATATATTTTTATTTTAGGACTCGGGTCATATTAGCTTTCACTCGAGTCAAGTCTTCCGATTGAGTCATTTACCCGTTGGGACACGAGTTGAATTGTCAAACATTGTGACTCAAGTCAAATCACTGATGACGCAAGTCATTAGGCCTACAGCTCTAACTAGTCAATATACCCAGCAAGACATGGGACCGAGGGGTACCCCCAACATGTCCCTGTATACACTCCAGACTATTAATTGTTACCTGAACATCCCCCTAGATGTCTGAAGAGAACTGCTGAAATTCCAATCAAACAATCACCCTAACCTTACATATCTTTCGTGGACTTGTGAACAAAAGATGTCCACACGATGCAAGAATTAGGAAGACGTTCTGTGGACTTACATACGTCCCGCACAGGACGTTTTCCTTTCTCTGAAAAAGGAGTTTAGAGGCATTTTGAGGGAGGGGCATCGTCGTAAAAGGAAGGGGAATAGTCAAGGAAACCTTATACAAAAAGCCAGCTGAAAATCGTATTCCCAGTTCAAGAAAAATGAGTATTTTCCACTGAGGTGGGTGTATGTGTTTGGGTGTGTGTGCGGGGGGGACACTCTCTGTCCCATTGTCTTCCAAAGTGTTCCACGTCTAGAGGTGCACTCAACCAATTCAAGCTCCACTGAAAATAGTGTAAAATCAACCAAGTTTGGAGCCCCATGGCAGGCAACTGAAGTCCCTGAGGCCTCTCAAACAAAAACAATATGCTGTTTGATCCTTCAGATTTTATTTAATTTTCAATTTTTAGTTGGCTAACCAATGATTTTTTATTTATCCGCCCAAAACGAACTCACCCCGCAAAAGTGAATGTCCCCAAGTCTTCTCAGCAGCTTTTTTTCAAATGAGCCCTCACCTTTCGCGGGCTCTTCTGACAATTTTCAGTCACATTTTTGTCTGCTTTGCCCCCAGATGGGTGCCCCTGAATCTCCCCCCTGAGATGATTCTGGGTCAAACTTACACAATCCCACAATATCTTGGCCCAAACAGATCCCTCTCTTCGAAAGAATCTGTCAGGGGTATTTTTTAACCGCCTCCGCCGCCTGGCAGAGAATGTTCCTTCAATTTGGACACTGCAGCCTTTGGGGGCCGCGCAAGGGTATATCAACAAAAGTAAGCCCCAACATGCTGAGGCCTGGTAAAACCCAAATTTCTGCTTACAGGAAAATAAAAAAAAAATAATAATAACAATAAAAAAATTGCCAGCAGAAACTGGGAAAGTTGGGCTTATCCACTGTTTGGGGTTCCATATTCTTTTATTTGAAGCTTAGTTTATTATTTTGGAAGTACCTCATGCATCTCATTCACAGACATAAAACGTCCGTGACTAAATTTCTGTCCTATTTCTTGTTTAATTTGTTTGGCGCCCTCACGAGACCCAAAGTTTTTACACACATTATGCGTCGTGGACCCACTTGCGGTCTAACGTCTAGAACGTAAAAGTTAACTCAAGCCAAGAAACGCATGGCTGATATCAACCCATCACCCACTCCGGAGCGAGCAATCTACGGATTCGTTCTTTATCTTAGCTCCATCTTCGGTTTTAGTAAGTCTGTGACAGTGTGTGAGATACATGTACAGTATGTTGGGTGCAGTTGTAGGCGTACTGTAGACGGAATCAGCTAGGTCAAGGCTCCATGGGTCAACTCACCCCCTCGCCGACTCGCCCCTTACTAGACTTGCCTCTTACTAGACTTGCCCCCTTGCCAACTTGCCCCCTGACAATCTCACCCTTACCATCTCGCCCCTTTGCCCCCCAGACGAGTTGCCCCCCCCAGCCGAGTCTGCCCCTTGCCAACACACCCCCTGGCAAACTCACCTCCTGATCAAGGCGCCCCGTCAAAGGAGATAGTGCTGGTATAGTTTTGACCATTAGGGCTAATCGTTTATCTAAGTGCCCTTTCCAGAGGCGGATAATAATTATAAATTACATGTATTATGAAAATAATAATGATAGTCATAACTTGGTTATAATAAAAACAAGACGAACACAGCTTAAAGTTGAGAACAAACCACAAGTTTACACAAAATTAGTTGCACAGAACAATTTAAATAGCAATAGGTTGAGGTACATGTAATGATGTGTGCTAGACAATGAATTCTGATACGCTTAACGTGCTTTACAAACAGTCTGTCAACTGAATGCAAGTTTATTGAATAATTCTCAATCTCTTAAGGTGAATTCTTCAATATAGTGCCTTCTGCCAGGACACTTACATGTAGGCCTACTTTGGAAATGTAGTTAATCGTCCAAACCAGCAGACTCTCCCCTGAGTGGGTGACTTGGTCAGGAGGTGAGTTTGCTGGGGGTCGAGTTAGTAAGGGGGGGTGAGTCGGCTAGGGGGCGAGTTGTTTGGGGGTGGGATAGTAAGGGGCAAGTCGGTAAAGGGGCGAGTTGGCAAGGGGATGAGTCAGTAAGGGGTGAGTCGGTAACTGGCAAGTCAGCCAGGGGGCGAGTTGACCTACAATCCCACAGAATAGTCCGAGTAGCGTACAATGGTACATGTAGCTAGTCCGAGTAACTTGGACCCTACAAATTGCCCTTTTTAACATTAATTTGTTGCCCAAATGTTAACCCTAACCGCCAAGCATATTGTCTGGCTTACACTACACAGTACTACAAAATACTAAGTAATAGTCTGAGCCTGAAGGACCTAGCGGTACAAATTACTATTTCTGGCTAGATTACTTCCATTGTTACTTGTACAGAGAACAATAAAGCCATGCATTCATAGTGCCACAGCACTGTATGTTACATTGTCTTATCTATTATATCTTATGGCTTCACAGAACAATAAAGTCATGTCCTCTTACAAGCGACAGCGGACAGTACTACATTTTACTACAAGTAGTAATTTGTAGTATTATGTAGGGCTAGGGTTAAAAAAGGCAATTTGTTGGGTCCAAATGTTATAAAAGGCGATTTGTAGGGCCCGAGTTACTCGGACTAGGCCTACCAGTAATTGTATGATTGCGCTACTTAAACTGTCATGAGACCTGCTCTACGCTATGTGACTTCGCAGTCTAGCATGTCTAGTTCCGCATGTAGGCCTACTTGAAGTCATGGAAGTTGAACGATTGCCTGAAAGTAGCACCCACCGTGTGTACATGTAATCTCCAGGTTGACTTCCCCATTTTGAAACAGTCTTTCACAGTTATGAATTAGAAAAGGCCATCGGTAGCTCGTAGACTCATGGAAATTTCACAGTGTTCAATTATTTTTCACAAAATGGATAAGAACTTCATATGCATTCAAATGATAGGGGAAAGAGTTCCATGTTAGGACGCCACTTGACACCCTGTGCACAAACCCTATGGGACTAGTCTGAAAAACTCTTTGTTTTATAAGTAAACAACTTTTTTCCCCAAAATTGAACTTTTCTGGACATGTTTCTGCTTTCTGATGGCTATTAAGTCACTGAAGAGAAGGATTACCTGCGTCTGTATATGGAACTCTTCCCACAATAGGCCTCCCACCTCCATACAACTAGAAGAGAAGTTATGATAAAATACAATGTACATGTATATGTGCACAAAAAATACGTCAATATGCATAATAGGCTAAATACTTGACCCATGTGAAGTGAGTTCCTCATTTGACTTTTAACATTCAATGTTGAACAAGTAACTGATATTCAGCAGTAACCGTTTGACTTTCAGGGATGAAAGGATGCACATCCCTGGAAATGAAGTTATCTTTAGAATACGTATAGGTATTGACAAAAATAATTTTGTTTACAAGGAACTGTCGTTTTGACCAAAGATTATATAGCGCTGTGTAGCGGCACAAGATGGGCAATTCGGCCATAAAAGTGTTATGACCATGGGCGCCATTTGAGTGTGAACGTTAATGTGTGTGCGTGCCTGTCGCGGTGCCTGCGCCTGTGTATTAACATGCACTGCGCAGGCGTAGTCCAACCAGAATGGCGCCCATGTGATAACAACGTTTTACGCGCATTCATGGTGAAGTTCCCCATCTTGCGGCGCTATACAATCTTTGGTTTTGACCGTGCTGTGTCAAATTTTATGGCCCTGGTTTCTCTGGTGTCTGTTGTGTGTTGCATCGCAGTGAGCTGTAAATTTTGTCTGTGTGGTCGTGCAGATTTGATGTTTTTGTGACTGTGTTTGCTTCATCATGCTGCTAAATATTGCTCGCAATCCACATGTTCAGAAAGGTTAGAACATTTTGTTCTATGCTTTTCTGCAACTTTTATTCAGACTTTAATTTTAGAGGACCTAAATTTAATTTTGAGAAACAATCTTGGGCTGTACAAGTTACATGTAAAACATTTTAGTCTTAAAAGGATTTATGCTAAAAATTGAAGGTTTAAAAACATGAAGCATTTTTTTGTTTTGACTCCAAGTCAAATAATTACCACCAATTCAGGCTAACAAATGTTGAAAAAAAGTAAGTTCAGTTGGTCTACAGTAAGTTTATCACTGCAAAATAATAGACTCTAACACTGAGGAAGATTTTTTGCTTTTGGGAGGGTGTACATTTGTTTGCAACACCATTTGCCAAAGCATTGCAGAACAACTTTTAAAATTTTGAATTAAGGTTCATTATACATGTAGTTTTACTTTTGTAATGTTTCTGCGTGATTTTCTTGCTCATCTAGATTGGCAGGCCAAGTTATTTTTATCTTCCTGAACTAGCAGAATAGTGTTACATGGTGTTGGTATGCATGTACAATGTAAGTGTTGGTCCCCATGGTACACTGTGCAAATGTACATGTAATGCAGTGGCAAGGGGGGCTGTTCAGGGGTACCTGTGGATGCTGAATTTTTACCGGAAGGCCACTGAAATTTAAGCCCACTGTTTACCTTGGTTAATACAAACACTGTTAATCTCATTAGTTTTCAGTTATTGCTTTTGACTTGTTAGTTTAAAGGACTACACTATGTACATGTACATTGTATAATTGACTATTTGTAACAATTTGACTGAGGCACACAGCTCCAATAACATGCACTTCTTGTGAAGCTGGTTTATACTTCAAAGCAATTCTTAATTAAATTTTAAAAAAGTTTGCCATATTATCGGTACGGTTTTTACCCACACCAACTTGGTTCAACGTGGTATCAATTTTAAAACTTGTGGAGAATGTTGACATGAAAATACCAAATGTACTTGCCATCTGAAATTGCTAGATTTCTTATTTATAATAGGCTTCATCAAATTACTTTCTAAAAACTTAACAATGTTACAACATTTCTTATTTTACGGAAAGTAGCAAAGAAAAGGCCCCCCTGTACTACTTTCAGCTCAGCTTCACAGCATAAAATCAAAAATAAGTACTCCGAGGGCTTCTTGAAGGCTCCAAGCGGAGCTGCAAGAGTTGCTCTTCATCAGGTAGTCCATGAAAATATTCCATTGAAGAGTGCAGCAAGGCAGAATTCCTTGTCTTATGGCATTCCTCACAGAATAATAACTTGTGATGTAGAGGTTGGGAACAGATAGATGTGTAGTCCTGACACAACATTCAGTGTAGAAGAAGAGCATCCACTGTCCAAGTGGCTCTCTGAAATGGCCAAGATGGGCATGGGGCTTTCCCTGAGAAACTTTGCAAGGAAGGAGAAAAGTTCAAGAGTTGCTGGTCAAGTTACATCTGGTACTACTCATTCATGTCCAGAAACTGACGTGGTTGAAAAGAAAGAAGTTCTTATGGAATCCTCCAGAATAATAGTAACACAATCCAAGCTAAATAATTGGTTCAAAAGTTACCATTAGTTTGTCCAGTCTATAAATGTTGGACAAGCCGCAAAGAATCTGGAATGCAGATGAGACAGGATTTCAGATGAGAAGCAACTCGGGGCACATTATTGGACTTAGCAGATCTAAGTATTCAGGCTCACTGCCACATCTGTCTGTGGGATTCACAAAGCAGAGGCTGACGTTGATGTTTTGTGGCAATGCAGAAGGGGAACTTATCTGAACATTCTTTGTTCTCTCCTAAACCATGTCCCAAAACATACATGGGTCCACTGGGGGATCAATCATGACTTATACGCAATATATCTGTGGAATAAATTCACAAATTTGTGCTTATTTTGATTGAAAAATAAACTCTAAACTTGTGCTTATCAGAAGGAGAATTTTGCCACAAGAACTGGCATGTTAAGTTGAATAAGCATTACAAATGTCACTGTCACAGATGTTAATTTTTAAACATGTTAGAAAGCTACGCTTACTGTGCACACTCAGTGACTTGCACTGTGACCTGAGAATTATCACATGCTTGATACTTCTTAATGAACTCATTAGTAGTGTTTGCATGCCTGATGCAGGCAGCTTGCAAAAGTCGTTCTTGTAAATTGTCGTTAGAGGCCTACATGCGTGCCTTGTTAACATTTTGGACCAAATTTGGCAGTAAAAAGATTTCATATTTGCAGTTTAGCTGGAAAATAGTCCTGCTACATTTTACAAGATACATGGTTACAATATAAACATATTTTTCCAGCCTGATCAGTCATGTGTAGATCTGCACATTTACTTCTGTCTGACAAACAATGTATTTTCAGGAAAATTAATGGCTGACGTCTACCTTATTTTCATCATTGATAATCTTTTTACAGCCTCTTCTTAATCTTTTTTATCTCTCTTGACAGCACTGTATGTTGTATGGGCATTTGTACCTGAGAAATGGCTTCACAGCATTGGACTGACGTATTGGCCTCAGAAGTAAGTCTGTGACTTGCATACACAACATAAGTTTTGTATTTTGAAGGTGAAAACAACCCTCAGTGGGGGTTGAGAACATACATGTGCACAGACTACATGTAAATATTTTGCATGTGAAGTATTTGTTGATATTATTAATGACCTTGATACATGTATTGTAGTTGTATGTATTTATAGCTTCTGCCCTTCCCTTAACATGTTCTTGATAAAGCCATCTATCATGTCCATTACACTTTATTTCCTGACAGAAAAAATTCATTAAGATTTTAACAGCATTTGATTGAAGAATGTGTGTGTTTTAAAATTAATGTAGTCACCAGAATTGAAAGCCATCACTATAGTTTGACCGTGCTCACTTGCAGGTGGCATGTCATGCAAACAGTCCTTTTTAACCAATCTGCTCCCAGTGGGAACAAGAAATAACTGTCTTGATGTACAATGTACATGTACGTGTAATACTTGTGTATACTGGTTCAGATGCATTGGACGCAAAACATGCTGAGTACACCTAACTAGTTTTTGTGTGAATTACATGTTTTGTCTTTGTGTGTATGCTGGGCACGTGCAAAGCTCGGTTGAAAAACTTCCCACTAGCCAGTCTGACAGCAGAGGCTGTCTACACTGTACTGGTGAGGGTGCATTGTAAATCGGCTTTAACCCTTCGACGGCGGAAATTTCTTGCTGAAAGCTGACTCCAAGAATTCCAGCCTTGCTTGGCCATGAAGGCCACCTGCCAAACCGCAAATTCTCAGTTTATGGCCCTGCGTGCTGTGCACGCTTTGAATTACACGGTGAAAAGGCTGATTGTTCGGTTGCATGCGGCTCTACTCACCCTTCCACATTCCCGTTGCCTCTTTTCAAAGTGGGGACTATTGTGAAGCTGGTGATTATGATGTAAATTCAGTCTTTTCATTTCTGGGCTACGCATAAAGACCAATTACCATATATACAAGAGCCAGGGTCTGCCTTCTTTCAACGTGTTCGCTTGAGCGTGGGCCGAGAATAATAGCTGAAAAGCCGGCTGAGGATCTCAATTTTTACAGCGTGTCTAGCCGCCTCCCGGCGCGAAGGGGTTAAATAAGCTTTATGCTGGTTGTTGACAATAACAAAGATTACATGTAGGCCAGTCCTTGCCTTCGAGAAGAAATTCTGTTAGTTTTTGTTTCATTCTGGATGATATAGTGAGCATGCAGTGCAAGCCCAAAACGATTATATGTCAACCTCGTCCCCATGGACTACGTCATGCGAGAGTGGGTGCAATATGGTGGCCATGGGAATGAGGTTGATGACATGTACGATCGATTGCTGGTGAACAAGTTCAAGCACTTCAAAGAGAGATTGTTGATGACCGTTACTCCCTTTACAAGCACCCTGCATACTTGTGGAGTAAGCAATGCTGATCAAGATTATTCATATCAAATACCGGTACATGTACATGTACAGTGCAGCAAGTTGTTTTGAAAATTTATCTTTATAAACCCAAATGTAAAGCTGAACAAAAGTACATTTTTAGTGGTACCAATAGCAGGTTACTGGTCAGTCTGAAGCCCTCATCCCGACAAAAATGGACCTGGATTTTTTATATAGGCATGTTGGGTAGCTGGGTACCAGGCATGGCCTCTGTGTAGCAGGCATGGAACAGTCCTTCATTGGAAATAGTGCATGCGCATTGCGCACACGCAGCTTGGATTTCTGTACATGCACTGTAAGACTCGAGAACGAATGAATTACATATACAACTGAAAAATGGAGCATTGTCTCTGAGGTTATTTTCCTTGATTTTGCAGTTCAGGTTCTTTCTGGAATTCCTTAACCCGGGCCAGATAGATAAGGACATAAAGAACATATAAATGTGAAACTGTTTTGCTTTTTTCAACCAGATAAACCAAGAACTAGTCAGTATTAACGTTTTGGTCATATTAAGAAGTCTCAAAACCTGGATGTCAGTCGTAATGTAGTGAAGACTACATGTAGATGTCCAACCTGGGCTTCCAGTGCTATGGCTATGTCTGTTGCTACCGTTGTGTGTCCCTATGTTTTGCCAATGGACAGTGTTCTGGATATTGTTCAGATTGTGAGAAAAACAAGCATTATCTTTGAGTTTTCTGAAATGTAGGCACATGATAACAAGGATTGTCCATATTAGTAATTTAACTTGCTGGTTTATGTATATGAACAGCTTGCTTGCAGTTTACAAAGAAAGCATGTACATGTACCAAGTACATGTACATGTATAATGTATTTCATGTATACGTATTACCCGAGTTTCTTCTGACCTGTTTGCAGATACTGGGCTCTTGCCATTCCTACCTACATCAGTGTGTGCTTCGTGTTTGTTCTGGTCTTTTTTGTGGCATTCAATCTCATCACTGCGCCTTCACTTGATTCAGTCAAAACTGTCACAGGTAACAGGCTTAGTACTAGGCATGTGCCTAGCTTTCATGGCCTCACATTTTTCTTTACTGTGGTGTAGCTACATGCGCATGTAAATGTATCTTTAAAAAATCTGTAGCCAGTACTCGTACGTCGTATTTCTTCTTGATTAGTGTGTCTGTTTATGTGACGTGTACATGCACTCGTATGTCTTTGTTTAATGTGATGCATGTATCTGTAGGAGGAGTTTTTAACTTCTGGCCTCAAGTTAATTCTGTCTTGGCTTCTTGTTTGGACAGCAGTCAGTTATGACTGTAAGTTAATTACATGTACATGTATAGCCGTAAGCTGTTCAGTATTATCCCAGATATAAGAAGTTGTATGCCATGGTCAATTAGTTGTACTGTAGTCCATGTAAGTCCTGGCAGAAACATATCCATGTCAAAGAAAGAGAGATACAGAGTTCAAGAAAGAAATGGACCACCATGAATGATATCGTTCATGTATGTCCATCAATAATAAAGACAGAAAGTGAGTGTGGGCTGCCATGTAAGATAATACACCATGACAAGAGAAAAACTAAGTTTATGCACTCCCTGTAACAGGAAATTGTCTAAAAAGTAACATTCTAGGAATTTCTGTTGACAACAGTGAGTGATGTGTATAAATTAATTTGGCGACCAGAATTAGAAGCTGTAATACTGTGGTATTAGTGCATTCATCTGGAGAAAGGTGGTATGTGCTTCAACTAACACGGTGGTGTGACTTGCCCAATGTACTGACATGGTTGCGTGAGATGTACCAGTATAAAGCTAGTTATGTGCAGTGGAAAAATCATGCATTTTCATTTTGTTTATGGATATTCTATTCCAGGTGACCTGACAAGACCAGTTGGTCCCGATAATGCTCTTCAGCCCAAGGCAGTTCCTGCACTGAGTGACATACCAATCAGTGAAGTCAACCGCCGTCTGTACCTGAAAAGATGACCGTGGTCACACCTGGGGAGAATCTCATGTCTGATGTGATGGCATGCTCGAGCAAAGAGGATCAAGTTCAAGACAGTTCCTCAATGTTGCTTGGTGTGAGAGGTGTGGGCTTCAAGACACTGCAGATGACTGCTTGGAATGGCATGGTAAAACTAACCTCTTGAGGTGATTCACTGAGGGTTATATTTTCACTGAATATTTATAACACCTCTCCCATAGAGTTTGTGTAATGTAACAGAGATGTTACTCACTCAAACAAAAGCCAATACAAATGTATCCCAATTTCCAATTCATTGAACAATCATGCAAGTAATTGCTTTAAATGCTTATTAAGAATACAGTGTATGTGCTTTTCAGAGTGAAGGCACCATGGGTACATGCAGCTTTTTGAGTGCACAGTACAATAGCACAGTTGATGCCACAAGGTGTACTCGTAGTCAAGTCAGAAACAGTGGATAGGGTGTTTTAAGAAGCAATATTGCACCTGTTGTTAAAATGGGCATGTACATGTATGTATGCAGATGAGTGATTGTCGGTAGAGAAGAAAATGTATGTTACGTGAAATGTCTGCTGAAGTATGCAACTGTATAAATTATATGAGAATTCTTCCAAATTCATGGCTGTCAACGTTCCAGAGCCACCAGTTATGACTTGTACAAGTGTATTCATGTACATGTATTACTTGTTTATGGATTTATTTTGAACATATTTAATAACTACATACATGCACCTATGTGGGTTTCTGCACTGACATGTATATGTACATGTATCTTGCATATCACATTCAAAGGAGTGAGGGAATGAACTGTTGAGAGCATTGGCCCCGACTAAACAACTTAAAGGACCAACTAATCATTGATTTGAGAACAGAAACTAAAACTAAATCTTAACAATTCTTCATTGTCGTTTCATTGTGAGGGCCCTAAAGGATCAGCTTTCACTGAACAGGTTACGGTACCATAATTAAAGATCCCTCTAACTCAATAAACAAAAAATGAAATGGTTCAATGCGAACAATGTCTGTACCTGGTTGGTGCCAGAGATTGAAGGGGTGATGACTTTCATTTGGAGCTTTGTATATGTATGTGTTTGGTTTGATTCCCTTCAGGAGACTTATCCAGTAACCAGAATGAGAAGCCAGTATGGCATTGCTACCATGTTCACCTGCAGGTAGTACTTGTACAGTATATGGTCAGGTTACCTTTCCCTTCAACCAGTGGTTTGTTGTGAAATACAGACAGGAATGTGCTCCCACTGCAGTAATGGTATCTACTTAGATTCAACTACAGATTGACACTGAAGTCTTCAGAGTATAAATGATGAACTTTGACCATGGGGACTTGCCAAAGTACATGTACTAGTACTGAGGGGCCATCTCAAGCCGGCCTTGTCTTTCCTCAGTTGCATGTTGACACTCTACAATCTGTACT